TGGCACTCTTACTACTTGAGTCACAGCACCACTTCCAACTTTTTCTGCTTATATGGTGCTGAGGAATCAAACCCAGGGCCTCATGCATGCAAGGCAAGCGCTCCATCACTGAACCACCTTCCCAGCCTTTACTAATTCTTTTAAATACTTGTACTTCTCTTCCAGTGTTTCTACTTAAGAATATTGAAGAATGAACATGAGAGAAAATACCCCTAAGTCAAGAGTGTAATAAATTTTCCTCTTTCTACCCATTCCATTTTTTTTTTTTTGGTCGTGGGGCCTGAAGTCTGGGCCTGGGCGCTGTCCCTCAGTTCTTCAGCTCAAAGCTAGCACTCTACCACTTGAGCCACAGCGCCATTTCCGGCTTTTTTCTTTTTGCTTATGTGGTGCTGAGGAATCGAACCCAGGGTCTCATGCATGCAAGGCAAGCGCTCTACCACTGAGCCACCTTCCCACCCCTCCATTTTATATTTACACTAACTTATGCAAAAGGTAAGAAACTATGCTGTTCCTAGCAACTGTTCTTTTACACCAGGGAAAATTCTACATTATATTCTTTCTCACCATCTGTACTAACTGAATGTTAGATGAAGAAGTAACGACAGCTTCCTCCTACAAAACTTTTCTGGCCAGAAAAAAAAAGGATTTCAAGGACCCTCAACTAGTCTTCAAGGCTTGGTAGCTTATACTAGGAAGGCAGTGGTTTAACATAACTGGACTATAGAAGTCCAGATAAATGCAGCAACCCAGAAAAACAAAATTCAACTCAATATGAAAACTGGTGCAATTCTACCAATAAGCAATTTTTTTTTCTTTGTTTTTTTGGTCCGGTCATGGGGCCTGAACTCTGGGGCCTGGGCACTGTCCCTCAGCTCTTCAGCTCAAGGCTAGCGCTCTACCACTTGAGCCACAGTGCCACTTCTGGCTTTTTTCTTTTTGCTTATGTGGTGCTGAGGAATTGAACCCAGGGCCTCAGGCATACAAGGCAAGCGCTCTACCACTGAGCCACCTTCCCAGCCCCCAATAAGCAAATTTTATACAGAAATGATCATTCATGTTTAACTACGTTGTCATACAAACTTGCATTACTAGTAAAGTATTTTTCATTACTAGCAATAATACTTTAAAGAACTTAATCAGAACTTCTGGCCATTTGCCTTTAAACACTCACCAAACAAATCAAAATTTCCATGAATTTTTTTCTTGCTGTATAAAAATGACTATATTGAGCTGGGTATGATGGCATATACCCGTAGTCCTAACACTTAGGAAAATGAAGCAGAAGATCATAAGGACTACTACTAGCCTGGGCTACATAGGGGAATTCTGTATCAAAAAAGTGGCCACATTACCTTTCAGAAATGGAAAGGTAGCTGTGCCTTCCTTAAATTACACAGTACTCATATTCTGTTGGTTAAAAATCCTCTTTACGAGCTGAATGCCAGTCTCTCACACCTGGAATCTTAGCTACTCAGAAGACTGAGATCTGAGGATCATGGTTTAAAAACAGCCTAGAGGGCTGGGAAGGTGGCTCAGTGGTAGAGTGCTTGCCTTGCATGCATGAGGCCCTAGGTTCGATTCCTCAGCACCACATAAGCAGAAAAAGCCAGAAGTGGGGCTGAGGCTCAAGTGGTAGAGCGCTGGTCTACAGCTGAAGAGCTGGGGGACAGCGCCCAGGCCCAGAGTTCAGGCCCCACAATTGGCATAAAAAAAAAATAATTAGGGCTGGGAAGATAGCTCAGTGGTAGAGCGCTTGCCTTGCATGCCTGAGGCCCTGGGTTTGATTCCTCAGCACCACATAAGCAAAAAGAAAAAAGCCGGAAGTGGCGTTGTGGCTTAAGTGGTAGAGTGCTAGCCTTGAGCTGAAGAGCTGAGGGACAGTGCCCAGGCCCAGAGTTCAGGCCCCACGACCGGACCCAAAAAAAAAAAAAAAAAAAAACAGCCTAGACAGGAAAGTCCATGAGACACTTATCTTCAATTAACCACCAAAAAAGCTGGAAGTAGAGCTGTGGTTCAAGTGGTAGAGCACTAGCCTGGAGCACAAAAGCTCAGGGACAGTGCCTAGGCTTTGAGTTCAAGCCCCAGGGCTAGGAAAAAAAAAATCCATTTTTACTTAGGCTAGGCACTAGTGGTTCATGCCTTATAATCCTGATGTGGGAGGATGAGATAAGAATTGTCATTCAAATCTTGCCAAGGCAAAAAAGCTTGTGAGACCTCATCTTGAGAGAAAAAAAAAAAAAAAGGTGGACAGAGTATTGGTCACCAGTCAACTCAGTACCATGGGAAGCTAAATAGTAAATCAAAGTTCAGGCCTGCCTGGGACAAAAGGAAGACTGTATCTAGAAAATAACCAGGCCTTTAAAAACTCAAGAAGTAGAGTACCTGCCTGCCTAAAAATTTCAAAGTCCTGAGTTCCAGTACCACAAAAAAACAACAAACAACTTACTCAAAAATATTACCAGTGATTCCCCTTTGAGAGTTTAGAGCAAGTCATAAATATTAAACCAGTAAAAATAATATACTTTATTCTACCACTTTATAACTCTATGTTTAAGAGATCAAAACTAAAATATCTAACTACACAAACCAGAGCATTTGGTATCTGCCAATGGGAGTTATATAAGTAAAAGGAAAAAGGTTTCATTACTACATAAGCTTACTATCTCACTTTATACATTTAAAATAAAAAGTTAGGCATCTACACCTGAACTAAAATAAATCTGTTTCTGTAATTCATTTTAAAGTCCGTTAGTAATAATGAAGTGTACATTGGTCACAGCAGAATAGTTCAAATGAGTTTTCCTGAGCCTGCATTCTAAGTACATCCGACCCAGAAAGTATTTTTAGCAAGTGTGTTCAATCAATGCTGGTTTAATGCCTAGCCTAAATTAGAAATTAGGTGTCATAAATTTAAAGTAACAATGCTACTAGGGACATTTTAAATATACTAAAATAGGACATAAGGAAAAAAAAAAAAAGCAAGCCCCAAGTTTGATACAATTTATTTAAAGCCCAGAACCTAAGATATTAGAAAACAGACCATAAAAAAGTCACATCTTCCTCTATTACTACTTTTGAGGAATAGGTGATTTTTTTTCACTTGGTAAGTTATAACTTACTATTAAGAAAAAATATAAAATAGCAATAGCCTCCCTGTTTTAAAAAGCTCTTGCAAAATGTTTAATTAGCCAAACTGCAAATATCCTCATGTTAAAAAAAAAATCATATTGTTCTTATAAACCAGTCGAGATGACCATGAACATGTGTATTGCAAAAGTAGACACACATGCCATAAGAAATTGTGAAGCAACACAAAAATAGTTTTGGGGGTAATTGCAGCAGAAATGTATTCTGCTCTGTACCCGCAAAATGGGTAAAATAGTTGTGTACAATATGTAAAGTTTTGCTTTTAAAACGCATTTTCTTTGAAAGTTAAATTAATATTATCAAATTCAAGATTTAACTAATGTTGCTGTAGTCCAAGCACATTTCTGATTCTGAAAAACTTATTTTAGCTCAACCATCCCCATTTTTAAAAAAATGAAAAACAATTTTCAACCTCTGGAACGTTAAAGTTCAAAAAACCTAGATTTAAAAATGTTCAGAGGCCAGGTGTTGGTGGCTCACGCCGGTAAGCCTAGCTACTCAAGAGTCTGAGATCAGAGGATCCTGGCTGAAAGTTGTTGTGACTCTCTCCAATGAACTATACCAAAAAGCCAGAAATGGTGCTGAGGCTCAAAGTGGCAGCACTAGCCTAGCGCACAAAAGCTCAGGGACCGTGCCAAAGCTCCGAGTTCGAGCCCTAGAATTATCAAGGCCCCCCTTTCCCCCGCCCTCCCCCCATCGCGCGCGCGCAGACACACACACACACACACACACACACACACTGCCAAAGCTCCGAGTTCGAGCCCTAGAATTATCAAGGCCCCCCTTTCCCCCGCCCTCCCCCCATCGCGCGCGCGCAGACACACACACACACACACACACACACACACACACACACACACACACACACACACACACACACACACACACACACACACACACACACACACACACACACACACACACACACACACACACACACACACACACACACACCACGTTCTGGCTTTTAGTGTTGGAGTCTTCTATTCAAATTGAATTTTACAAGTTGGACACATGGCTTTTGGAGGTTTTTATTTTCCTCTATAGACTTATTTTGAGTGTGACCAATGAGCTCTACTACGTCAGCTGAGACCAAGATCTGGTTGTACACTTTTATTCCTTCCATTTCGTTTTTTTAAGCAAGCTAGAATGTTACAGATATGATAGGCACTCCCGAAACCAGCCCTTTGAAAGAAATCCTACAGATCGTCCTTGTACCTACTGATGTCACTCTATGATGTAAGCCCAGACAGAAAAGTCTCCCATCCTTAAGTTTCGCAGAACACAGCCACACACATATCTGGTCCGCAACCTGTCTCATTTTTTAAGGAAGCCCTTGGAAATGCATAGGTACAAGTTTGGCTCCATCTCATCTTTCTGACACAAGTGCAAATCCTTCACAAGTATATACTGGTAGAATCGTGAGGCTTAAAACTTAAATTGGTAGGGACAATGCCAGAAGCGCTGGTGGTGCACCCATGTTTTTTTGAAGGAAGAAAATACACGAAGGGGGGGAAGAAGAAAAAGGAAGAATTATTCCACCTACCACCGAAAACGCTGTGTGATTAATGCCTTACTTGGGAGTTTGGGTCGCGGGGACACGTTCCATCCCCTCGTCCCCGGGCCCTCCCAGGACCGAGATCCTAACTCTAACCCCGGCGAGCTCCGCGAGCGGAGGTCCCAAGAAGAAAGGAGAACGAACGCATCCTCTCTCCCCCCCGCCTCCGTCGAAATCAACCCGGTAACCTCGAGCTATCTGGCTCGCCTCCCGCAGGCCACAGGCGCCCAGGTAGCAAGCCCCGCGGGCGCCGATCGCGGGCGAGGGACCGGCGCGAGAACCGAGGGTCTCTTACCTTCGTATCACAGCCGCGTCCTCTCGGCTGGAGAAAAAAAAAAAAAAAAAGAGCCAAAAACACCCTCGAGGATCGGGTGCATCCAGGAGACGCGCGTCCGCCGCGCCGCGCCGCGCCGGGGGCTCCCTCAGCGCCCCCCGAGCTGCAGCCGCCGCCGCAGCGGCCGCCACACGGCCCCCAGCCGCCGGTACCACCTCATGCTGCGGGGCGGCCGCGGGCGGCGGGCGGCCTCTCCCACCTCCCGGCGAGGGGGGGGGGCGGGGGAGGGATGAGATAATCCACACACCCCCAAAAGTGCCGTGGGGGAGGGGAGGAGAACCGGGGGGTGGGCGGGGGGCTGGCCCCGAACTGCCGACCCTCCCGCCGAAGCTAAGTCCCTTCCCGTACCGGCCCAGGCCCGATTCCAGCCCCCGGGGGCCTGGGAGTCCTGCGAGAACAATGTAGGGGGGCCGCGAGGAGCGGGAAAGCGCGCGGCGCGAGGCGGCGGGTAATCCCGGGCAGCGCTCGTGTGAGGGAGTGCGAGCGGCGCTCCGTCACCCCCCCTCTTCCTCCTCCCTTTCTTCCTCCTCCTCCTCCTCCTCCTCCGTCTCCACCTCCACCTCCCTCTAGCACACCCAGTCTCCTAGGCCGCAGCATAGCAACCGAACATGGCGGCTGCGCAAGCGTGGCCAGTCAGCAGCCTGGATCGGCGGCGGCAGCAACAGGAGGCGGTCTCGCGAGAGTCTCGGCCACGCCCCTTTCTACTGAGCTCTTGGAAGGGAGGCTGCACCAACCGGGAGCAGAGGGCCACGCAGGTGCGGGAGAGGCCGGATTTAGGAAGGTGGGGGAAGGCGGGCCCTAGTGGAAGGGGCGGAGCGTTCTGGCCCGCCCCTTGACAGCGCCGCGATTGGTTTGGAATGTCACCTAGCTCCTCCCCTGCCTCCCGCGCGTTGCTTTTACCCAGGAGATTCCACCTAGGGGCAAAGAACCTAATCTGAATGGGAGAAACCTCACCTCTGGCACCAAGTCGCCCCAACTTCAGTGCTAACAAAGGATATAGATGTTGGGGCACAGTTTTGCATTATTGCTGCCTTCAAATGTACACTCTAAAAGCAACATTCAGCTAGAAAAGCAAACCTTTAAGATGCTTTTACAGCGCCAGAACAAAGTGCTTAATCTAATCTGATAACGTTAATGTGGTGTTAACAGTCTAGGGGTTTCAATCAAATACTTAATTGGTGATATAAACTTATAGGCAGTAGTGCAGATATCTGTGGGTAATCTGAGCTGAAATGGAGCAAGTAGCGATTTGGATGTCACACTCCCTTTTGCCTCTTTTTGTCGGTGTTCTTTCCCGTTGCCAGGCACTTCTTACTTGACCTTGCTCTCAGCTTCAGCCCTCTTCATTTAAAAAATAAGTAACTTCAGAAATTACGTTCTTTCGTGCTGACAAAATTACTGTTTACCGATCTGTGGAAAACAGCAGTTTCTGTGGAAGACAACCCTCCTCATCCTTCATCCCTGCCTTTTCCATTTGAAAAAGATAAAAGGGAAATGTCGGTCCACATTTTTTCCTATTTTACCTTCCTCTCCTACTTACTTTTCCTCCCAGATCTCAGGTCTAACCTTTTCTCATTCTTTCCAATACACATTCTGGCCGTTAGCTCTCCGTTTTTAATACCTTTATTTATGCTTTTGCTAAAATGCTCTTCCCCTCAATTCCACCAATTTCCGCCACCGCCAACAAAAGATCACAGGTGAGGGGGTACACGTCTGTGATCACAGGTTTGAAGAGGCTGAGACAGGAGATTCTAGAGTTGGGATCCAGCCTGTCTTACATAAGGAAACCCTGTCTCATAAAAAAGGGAGAGCGGATGGGATAGGGTAACAGATAGGAATGCCACCAGAAGCAAGTAATTCCTTCCTTCTTGGACATTTATACCTGGTATAAGTATTCTTATCAGTCTTTCTGCTATTCCATGGTTTGATCACTACTATTGTTACTGGAAACAAAGGATCTCTCTTTAGTCATCTTTCTATCTTCTATAATGCCTGGTGATGCTGCCTGGTAAGAAAGAAAGGAAGAAGGGGGGGGGGCAGGAATCTTTAGGCTTGCCCCATCACTACATTTACTACATTGGATGGTTCATCAAAAACTGAGCTGAGAAATAAGTTTGTACTTCTCTTAATGCACATACCCATCCACTACCTGGGCATCCAGACCTAAGGTGGGATCATGTAATTCTTACATGCTCCCCAATCCCTGGACCAACCTTGGAAATAGGAAAGATTCTTTAAACTCAAGTCAAAATATATATTCGCTCTTTTCTTACCAAAAATATATAAATGATTTACTTAAATTATGTCTTTTTAAATTAATATATTTTGGAGTCTTTAATTCCCATTTCCTGCATAGGAAGTAGGAAATCTCTTTTTACTGTAAACTGGACTGGCTCTTGAGCCATTTAGTTGGAACCTGTCATTTCCCTTAATGGTATACTTTCTCTCTTTCTCTCTCTCATAAACTCTTTGCTTTGTCACTTGAAAAAAAAATATTTTAATACCTAGTCTAAATCATGTAATGACTACCTTGTCACTGAACACCACATTTGACTTTGTATTTGGCACCAACTATAATAGTAGAGGTAAGTTCCATATTCTCATCCCAAGAGACAATTTAATTTCAGCAAAACAACATCATCCATCACATTACATGTATAATATTAATTGAATTTTAAATTTTTTGAATTCAATTTGTAAAATTGCTTTAGTTTTATAGATGTACAAAGCTTTGGAAGTAAGAAATGTATGATTAGTTTAATATTTATGGCTAAAAAATGTAATTAGGACAATTTAACAGTTGGAGCTTAGCAAGACTTTTTCTTTTTTCTTTCTTTTTTTTTTAAATTAAAAGTAGTCTTAAGCCAGGTGCTGGTGGCTCACACCTGCAATCCTAGTTACTCAAAGGCTGAGATCTGAGGGTTATTGTTCAAAGCCCGCCTGGGCAGGAACGTCTGTAAGACTCTTATTTCTAACTAACCACCAAAAAAGCCAGATGTAGAAGTATGGTTCAAGTGGTAGAGTGCTAGCTTTGAGCAAACAACGCTAAAGAACAACACCAAGATGCCGAGTTCAAGCCTCAGTATAGGCACATACATACAAAAAAGGGGGCCTTAAATGTTATTAGATATTGACAGATACTGCTATTGATTGATTTGTTTTTCTTTTGCCAACAGCCTGCCCTTGACTGTGTTTCGAAAGATTAAGAGCAAGATCTTGTACATACTTGGAGATGATTGGCAGACAGGGTAAACTCCACCCCTCTACCCCCTCCCTTGCTTTGTGTGGTTGATAGTAACATCTCTCTAACTTTGAGTAGGAAGGGCCAGGAGAGAATAGGCTTTCATTCTAGACTGTTTAGCCAAGCCCACCCACCTGGGCCTTGGCATTGACCACAGGCAGTGACAATGGGAGAGAAGCTGTTAATGGTGACTGACTCACCAGCCATCATTACCATCAGTAATTTGGGAGCACCTTTTTGGAAGAAATAAGTAACCCCGGGATCAATGAGGGTATCATGGATGGAAAGAAAGTTCAACTCCTCTTATTAGGCACAGCCCAGACAAATATGCATTATAACTTAAAAAACAAAAATATAGCCAGGCACTAGTGGTTCACACTTGTAATCCTATCTACTAAGGAAGCTGAGATCTGAGGATCACTGAGCTGTGTCTCAAGTTGTAGAGCACTAGCCTTGAGCAAAAGGAGCTCAGGACTGAGTTCAAGCCCCTGGACTGGGTGAATGCATGTGCATGCATAGTTTCTCTCTCTCTCTCTCTCTCTCATACACACACACACACACACACACACACACACACACACACACATACACACACACACACACACACACACACACCACATGGCTTAAAGTGACTTGGTTTTGTTGCCTAAACTAGTGAGGTGAGCAATACAAGGTACAAATGAGTTAGACAAATGAGTCCCAACCTGGTCTCTGAAATGAGACCTTGGAAGGATATCTGTCTGCTTTAGCTGGATAATTAGAGAAAGCAGAAGGTTACCTTTTTACTTGCCTAGAATATTCATGTCTAACTTTTAGGTTAAGCAAAGAAACCAAGGAAATTTAAACCTTTAAAGAAATACCGTATTTTCTTAAAAAAAAAAAAAACAACCAACTGTTTTAAAATTTGTTCTTTTCTTTATTGTGCTAAAGATCAAATGCAAAGGCTTGCATATGTGAGGCAAACACTCTACCACTGAGCTAAAACCCCCAGCTCTTGTTTTTGTTTTTGTTTTGTTTTTACTCTGTTTGTTTGAAACAGGGTCTTGCTTCATGCTGACCTCAACACCCTCTGCATCTCAAGCTGTCCTTGAACTTCTTCTGTCAAAGCTTCCTGAGTGCTAGGAATACAGGCATCTATCACTATGCTCTGCTTCAATATACTTTTCTACTTTGGAATTTTATAAACTTTATTATATTGACTTTCCTACTCCTACTGTTACTATAACAGAGTGCCACAACTTTAGTGACTTAAAACCATACACATTTATTATCTTATAATTCTGGACATAAGAAGTCCAAAAAAAAATGGTTGTGTTGCTTGGGAAGTCCTGGGAAGAGAAATTTATCCTTTGCCTTTTCTAGAGCCTCTAGAGGTCTCATGCCTCTATGGCTTTCTTCAAACCCAGCAGCTTGGAATCTTCAAATCTTTCTTTCATTACTAGTTCTGCTTACTCCTACTCTTTTACATCTATTCAATAAGGAAACTTTTGATTGCACTGAATTCACCTCGTAATCAAGGATAACATCCTTATCTCATCATTTTTAACTTAGTCACATCTGCAAAACCTCTTTTATGATGTAAAGCCATATTTTCATGGTGTAAAGTCACAAGGGCACAATTGAAAACCATTATTCTGTTTGCCAGGATCTCTAATACTACATATTTTTACCTATTAGTTTGTTCATTTTTGTGCTAGAACTCAGGGCTCCCTACTCTTGCTTTGCTTTTTTACTCAGGGCTGGTGCTCTTCCATTTAAGTCATGCTTCCAGTTCTAGTTTTTTGCTAGTTAATTGGAAATCAGTCTCTTGGATTTGTCTGACCAGACTGACTTTGGACTGTCATACTCAGATTTCATCCTCCTAAGTAGCTAGGATTACAGGTGTGAGCCCCCAGTGCCCAGCTAACTTAGTCTTCATAATTTCTATTCATTAAAAACAAAACACATATTGCTCACTTACTATTTCCTTGGCACTGGAATTATAGATGAGAAGTGGCCCTTGTCTACTTCTTAACTGTATTCCTAAGCCACCTTGTGGCTTGTTAGTGAGTTGTGAATCAACTTACTGGATCATAAGCAGAGTTTTGAGAAAAGGAAACAAACTGGAGTCAGTAGGATTAGCTAGTCAGTAGCTAGGATTACAGGTGTAATTTCAGGAGGCTGAAATTTGAGGATAATGGTTTGAAACCAGAATGGGCAGAAAAGTCCTTGTTAGACAATTATCTCCAATTAACCACTCAAAAACCAGAAGTGGTGCTGTGGCTCAAGTAGTAGAGCACTAACCTTGAGTATAAGAGGCTCAAGGACAGTGCCCAGGCCCTGACTTCAAGCCCCACGACTGACAAAAAACAAAACAAAACAAAACAACAACCAAAAAACTAGAATAGACAAGAAAAAACTAGAATGCAATGCACAAATGAAGGTAAGTATTATACTGTAAAACCATAACTGTAGTTATGTGTTTGCATGTATGTGGGTTACAACATAAAAGTCATTTCTTTCCTTCTTTCTTTC